TGACCTCTGGTCTTGGTCCTCTGGGCTTGGACTTCATGTCAGTGGAAGCCAGCAGTACTTTCCCCTTTGCGTCTGTTGCCCTCATTACGAATGATGTCTTGAGATCTGTCCACATTGTTTTTGTCAAGTTTGCTCCGCGGGTGACTGAGAAATGTTGCATTCTGTGCAGACAGACGGCTGCCGACCCGTTCGTTCTCCCACTGGCAGCGGGTTGCTCCCAGCTTTCAGCCGTGGTGAATGCAGTATAGACAGGGCTTCAGACCCTTAGAGAATGGACTTCCTGTGGCGCGTTTGACTTGGGCAGACTCAGTTAAGCTTCAGTCAAAACAGCCCCAAATCAGTGGCTTAAAACAGCAAAGGTTGCTTCTCCTCCTCCTCCCCCGCCCAGACGCAGGGGGTCCCTCTCCGCACTCACACAGACCTCAGGCAGGAAAGGAAACGCAGCTAATGCCATAAGGCCAACGCAGGAGGGAAGACAGACAAAGCAAGGGTTTAGGACCAGCCCTGGGAGTGTGGGGGAGGCGGAGGAATCGCATCCCAGCGCGTCCTTCACTGCTAGCTTTTCACAGCCTTTGCGTCAATACATGGGGTGCGTGGTGTAGATATGACACCTGCACTCAATTACGAGACGCAGGATTGCCCGCGGAGGAGCGCGCGTGTCTGTCCCTTAGGGAGTGTGTGGAGCAGCTTGGGGAGTACGCTGCGGCCCGGCAGAGCCTTCCCCGAGGCGGGTCTGGGAACGCTGACGTGAGCCTCCCAGGCAGGTATCTGTGGCTCTCGGGCGGCTGTTAAAAGCGAAAATGCTTGTGTAATAGTTAAGGTGTAGGTTTTAAAATCAGACTGTGGTTTTGAAGCTCAGCTGTGCTGTTTATTAGCTCTGTGACTTTGGCCAGGTTACTTAACCTCTGCATAAAATGAACAGAAAAAGAAGAAAATAATTATAACTACCACGGATTATACATGCAGCTGTGCAGATTATACAGTGCACGCTCTCACAGCTGTTCCTGGTGACCGTGGTTTCCAGGCCAAAGGCTGGGGCTGTGTGTTGATTTGTCTCCTCTTGCTATGTACTGAATCACCACACATTCACTGGCTTCACTCTGCACCATGTGAGACTCCAGTTCTGGGCGTCAGACGTCTGCCCCTGCATGGCAGCTTTTCCGCTGGGGCCTCTCCTGCAGGAGTCTGAGTGCTTGCCGGGTTCTGGAGAGACTCACCGGCAGGCCTCTGTCCACCGAGGCCTCAGGAGCCCATGCGGGTGGGTGCTCCCTGTGGGACTCTGCCTGCTGCCTCTCAGGTGGCCACTGCTTCCAGCCCAGGAGCCCCCAGATCCTTGCAGGCACCCCCCTCCCCTGAAGCCAGTAATGGTGCTTCTCATCCCAGGCTTCGTCCCTGACCTCTAGCTTATCCACAAAGAACTGACACCAGTTTAGAATTTGTGTTCGTCAGTCTGCTGAGGAGTCAGGAGGGGCAATAGTGACTTCCTGAAAGCCTGTCTCGAAATAAAACTTTAAAAGGGCCGTGAGTGTAGCTTGGTACAGAGGCCCTAGGTTCGGTCCCAGTGCCTGGTAAAGGGGGTTCCCCGGGGGGAGCTGGAGAGGGAGAGGAGCCTTTCCAGGCCTCACCCCAGGACGCCTCTGCCCAGGCCCTGCCTCCCCAGCACAGCAGCTGTGAGCTCCTTAGTGGGTGAACCCGCTGCCGGCCCAGCACCCTGGGGTCCCCTCACTTCTGAAAGCCCCCCAGCACAGAGTCAGGGCCACTTACAGATCTGAACCGTTACTCTCTCCAACGGCTCTCAAGGATGAGCATCAAGACACTGACCACCGACTGCAGTTCTCCACCGTGGTCTGTATGGGGCCCTGGTGCCTAAGAAACCTAGGGTAATGTTATGAAAAGGCAAGATTAATCATAAAGCAAACACATCTCACCCCGTAAGAGAAGTGCCGGTCACAAGGTCGGGGCCTGGCCTCTGCCGCGGCTCCCGCCCTGCCCCGTGGTCACTGCTGGTCCAGCGCTGCACGGCTTGCTGCCTTGGTGTGTGAACAGTCACCTCTGAGAGGGTTGTAAAGGCGTATGAGCCGTAGCTTCTCACAGCAGCTTTCTTCTCTCCATTAGGACTGACTGCAGGCTTTCTATTGTGTGAGGTTTAAGAGACTGTGAAGGGTCTTCACCAGACATGCTAATTTGGGGAATCATTCGATTATAAAGGGACAACTTGGCTGGTTTGAGCTCCCTTGGCCCAGTTGATCATGATCCTCAGTAAGAATCTGTCAGTGCTGGGGGCCTGTGAAAGGCATCTGCCCGCCTCCTGCCACTGTCCCTGCGCTGTGAGTCTGGCCTGGGGCAGGAGGGGACTCGACTGCCCCTCGAGATGACGGCTGGCCTGTGTGAGAGCTGCTGGGAAGAGACCTGCCTCAGCCCTCACTGGACAGGACGGAGCCTACTCGAGCATGGGAAATGCTGTCAGAAAACAGACGTGTTCTCCCTGCTCTGCGGCACTGCATGGCGCTAGAGATTTTCCCATTTGTTTCGGTTTGGTTCAGATACTAGATGCTCCAAGGGCACAAGGGGAGAAGTGGCACCTGGGCCTCATTCTGCGGAGGATATAACTGGGTCAGAATTCCTACAGTTCATCCGCCTCCCGGGAGCAGTCTGGGCACTGGGAAGTGACTCCCCGACCCCACAGCTATGAGCGGTTGCTCCCAGTGAACAGCATGACAGACTGCTCCCGGCCTGGGAGGAGGTGAAGCCCCTGGGCGTCTCGGCCATGGTAACTCTGCAGGGTGCAGGGGTGCAGGAGGCTTGAGTGGGGAGCTGGGGCTGGCGCCCTCGTTAGCTCAGCACGGGATGGAGAGCGGAGCGACTGAGATGCACTTCAGGGGCAGAATCAGAGGCCTTCTTCGGACCGGAGGTTTCAGGAACAGCTCTGAGCCTTTCGGCCGGAACTGCCATCTTCCGGTAATTTGCCAAAATGACAAAGGGAAAGAGGAGGGGAACCCAGTATATGCTCTCTAGGCCTTTTAGAAAACATAGGGTTGTTCCTTTGGCCACATACATGCGAAACTACAGAAAGGGTGACATTGTAGACATCAAGGGAATGGGCACTGTTCAGAAAGGAATGCCACACAAATGTTACCATGGCAAAACTGGAAGAGTCTACAGTGTTACCCAGCATGCTGCTGGCATTGTTGTAAACAAGCAGGTTAAAGGCAAGATACTTGCCAAGAGGATTAATGTGCATATTGAGCATATTAAACACTCAAAGAGTCGAGACAGCTTCCTGAAACGGGTCAAGGAAAATGATCAGAAAAAGAAGGAAGCCAAAGAGAAAGGTACCTGGGTCCAACTGAGCTCCAGCCTCCCCCACCCAGAGAAGCGCACTTTGTGAGAACCAATGGGAAGGGGCCTGAGTTGTTGGAAGCTGTTCCCTATGAATTCATGGCATTAGCTGGGGATGTCGCTCTGCCACACAGCACCTAATTAGCAGCTGAATGCCCTAAGTCCTACTTCAAAATAAAAAATCATCTTGTGTTGTAAGGATGGTTTTCTTAATTGAACAGGTGTGTGGTGCCTTTACCTCGGAGAAACAAATATTTGGAGCAGATTCTCATTATACCCAGTTAATTGTGTCAGGTCTTTACTCTTCAGTGTTTTTCTTGCGGAAAGATGTGAGGTACTGGGGCTGGGGATTTAGCTCAGTGGATTCTCCACCTGCTGTGCAGGCACAAGGACTTGAGTTCGATCCCCGGTACCAAATAAAAAAAAAAAAAAGATATGAGGTATTGTGCAGATGTATACCCAAATGGCCAAATATGTATGAAATATTTATATTGGCTTGAAGATCCTCTAAATCACCTTGGGGACAAGATGTATCAAAATAAATGGAAGTCAGTATACGGCATTTCAGTTAAATAGTTTAAAGCACCTTTAAAGAAAAAGAACAGCTGAGTTGCTGGCTGAACACAGGCAGGCGTTGCTGGGTCCACTAGGGTGGGGAGCAGTGGCTACAGGAGCTGAGGGCAAGAAAAACCTCGGTATTTTTCCCTTTTTTGAGGTGCTTGTAAGACACCAGCGGAGACGGGACGTGGGAGTTAGATGTGCGGACCCCACAGCCAGAGGCCGGGTTACCATGCGTAAGAAGGGCGGGGACTCAGCCAGTCTGTGAATTCGGGGGCTGGCTCCCCAGAGGAGGACCGGGCCTGAGCGTAATCGCCGGGCCTTGCAGGGACCACGGGCGGAGGAGTCGACCTCCACTCAGTGAGAGATAAGAGCGGAAGTGGGGGACCCTGAACACTGGCCCAGGCAGACGGGAGCGCCTCTGTCCGCCCTGAGCACGGGGAGCGGGAGCTGCGAAGCGGTCATTTTGTTTGGGGCGTGTGCGTGCGTGCGTTACTTGTAGTGTTGGGGATCACACGCGAGCCAAGCCCTCCAACCCTGAACCTGAGCTGTGTCCCCTGCCCTCAGATCTTCATGTTATCAGCAGGAAGCACCTTGGTGGGCTTTCGTGGTTTGTCCTGTGAAAGAAGCTGGGCCTGGGCCTGCCCTGGGTGCCATCGCCGGGTGAGGAGGTCCCGCCTGCACCTGCCCTGGCACGATGCGGCCAGCTGAGTCCGCGGCTCCTCCACTCCCTCACGGCCTGGCCTCACACCCTCTGCCGCGTGCAGCAGACAGCGGACCCAGCCAGCGAGGAGGCCGGACCTTCCCCATCCCCAGAGCCACACGCTCCGGAAGGGAACAGGCATGCAGGTTACATGCGGGCAGGTGGAGAGTGCAGGAGTGGACACCGCTCCCCTCCTGCCGTGGCCCTGTCCTCCCCTGTCCTGGGATGCACCCGAGTGGCCCCCGAGCAGGCCTCTGTGCTTCCAGCAGCTCTGCACCCTTGTTTATTAATCCAGCGCTGCTGTGTGTGTGTTTTCACCGGAGCGCTCGGGCACACAGCACCCCGGGCCGAGAGCCTGGCGTCTCCTCGTACTGACCCTGCGTGTTTTCCCGTCTCACAGAAACGAAGATGCCGTCCATCAGATGGCCGTGCCACCGCTGGCGCCCAGCTCTCTGTCTCCCGTCGAGGTAAGCATGCTCGGAGTCAGTGTCCTCCACGGGTAGGTCCTGGTCATCCCCGCGGGGCTGACGTTTTGATCTCCAGTGTTCCATATTCCAAACACATCGTGTTTCCCACCCGGCAGACTTCCCTGACTAAGCCAGAAGGTATTTGAGGTATTAGTGTGGAGTAATGTAAACCGGTGTTAAACAAACCTGTCAGGACCTGACCCCGGGGCTCACCTTCTTCAGCATTGCTTATGTTTCCTCGGATGTATACTTTCATCTTTATTTCAGAAGTTACTAGAAAATTATTCACTTTGTGATTGAATTATATCCCTTTTGTGGTTTCAGAGTATTTTCATACCTGTGGCTCATAGCATCTTTAAATACTTACTTTCTTCTGTTTATGGAGAAACTCCTAGAACAACAAGATTGCTGTAGCATTGATTTGCTTCTAAGCTTGTAGACAGGAGAGGGACAGAGACAGAGGCAGAGAGAGGGAGAGACAGAGCAACAGAGACAGAGAGAGGGAGAGAGACAGAGAGGGGCAGACATTGCTGCCCAGGGTGACCACCTCGTATCTGAGGTGCTGGGGCCCAGACCTGTTTCAGGTTTTGGAGTATTTGCATGCATGTGATGCGGGATCTTTTGGACGGGACCCAGTGCCGGCGTGAAATCTCCCTGTCCGTGTCACGTGGGGTCCAGGTGGGGCTTTGCTTTTGAGCCCACTGTGTTTGCTCAAAAAGTTCTGGATCTTGGAGCACGGTGGAGTTGGGTTAGGGGAGACCAACCTGAATAACCACCGTGTCTCCTGAGCTGAGAAGTGTTCATTCCCTTCACATACTTTATTTCTTGAATTGTTTTTTTATTCCAAAAAGAAATGCATACTTACTGTTTTTAATTAAATAATATGGAAGTATTAGAAGACAGGTTAATTTATTTGCTACTAGCAAGTGCTTTTTGATTAGTACCTTTCCACGCATTTCCTTTGCTTCTGCAAACTTACATGTGTACAACGTCGTGCACATCGTGAGGCTGTGGCTGCACAGTATGTGCTCATCCTCGTCGCTCACCCAAAGCATCCAGAACACAACGTGTGAGCTGTGTGTCAGACACAGCCTGGATGCTGAGAACCGCCGTGAATACACAGAGAAGGCTGCCGGCTGAGTCCAGCTTGGAGTCTAGTGAGGAAAGAAAGGGGAATTAAGAAATAAAACAAAACAAAACAAAAAGTACTTGCCATGGCAGGGAACTCCTATAATTCCAGCCCTCGGGAGGCTGAGGCAGGAGGCCAGCCTGGGCTGCACAATGAGTTCAAGGCCAGCCTGCATGACAGAACGAGACCTGTCTCTAACTAAATAGATAAAGAAAGAAGGAAAGAAAGAAAGAAAGAAAGAAAGAAAGAAAGAAAGAAAGAAAGAAGGAAAGAAAGAAAGAAAGAAAGAAAGAAAGAAAGAAA